ACTCGCCTGCCGTTTTCCTTAGCAAGACGGCGAGCTTCGCGCTCAGGGATCACTTCCCCAACCTTGAAGGATTCCAACTCTTCCAACTCAAGCTTCATTGATGCGTAAAGGAGATCGGGTTCTAGCTTCTCTCCCGAAGTCTCAGACACAGCGTTCTGGGGAACAGCACACCTTATCTTCGTACCCCCAAACTTCAAATCAAACGACTTTGCAACTGCAGTGGAGGTGGCTCGCAGGTCAGGCCCTCGAAACAGGGACTCAAGATAGTGATTCGTGAGCCAGTCTATTTCCATATCCCCCTCATCGTTCACAACCTCCTGGTTCTCAGGCGCTTCCGACGGAGAATAGTCAGCAAGCTCATCTTCAATCATCTCTTCATCACCATCTTCATCCATTCCCACACCAGCCCCCTCATCAGGAGCATCATCACCAGGAGCCTCCAACGGATCAAACAGTATGGGCCTCTCGGGGTCCTCAGTGTCCTGCAGAAGAGGCTTAGCTAAAGATAGCTCTTCCAGGGTCTTGGCATCGTAGATGTCACCTCCCTGAATCATTCTGGCGACGGGGAATATATCTATTTCCCTGCTTCCGATAGGGACGGCAAAGATGCCGCCACCTTTGGCGTGCACCGGTCCCAGATAAACCGCTTTCACGGTCCGGGCGCCCCTGAACTTATCATGGTGCGCCTTGGACTTACTGACCTGGGCTTGAACCAGACACCCGAACGGTCTCGTCCGAGTCCGGTTCACAATCTCCTCATGCAGTCGATCTATGCTAGTGCTCGAGTCCCCGACGCTGGTACACCAGAGGTTATAGCACCTAGCAACATAGAAAACACAGGCTTGCCAAAGCAAACCTCCCAAAGGTAACTGATACTTCCCAAGCTCAACGGCTTCCGTTTCCTGCTTCACCTTAGCAACCTCTTTCTCCAGGTCCAACCAAACAGACCAGAAACCCTGCTTCATAGTTTCAACCTGCCGCTCAATCGATCCCTTCGACTGGGGCCTGTAGCCCGGAACCACGTCAATCAAAGTTGCGCTGGCAGGGCTGTTATCGCACTTGGTGAGTTTCTCGGCAAGGGCTCCAAGAGCCGCTTCTTGGTCCATCCGAAATGTAACCGCTTTACCGACTAATCCCATTTCGCGAATCACACGGTTGATGTTGTGGAGCAGGTCAGGGTCATCGAGGTGCATCGCAGGAAGAGAGACAGTATACTTAGAACCGAGGTGCATCATCAAGAGTACCCTCAGTTTTCCGAAATAGAAGAAATCAAGACCTATGGTCTGGTTCTCTCTCTGCAGCTTCCTCCTCAAGCGACGCGCCGGAACGCGCCCTTTCGAAGAACAACACGCTTCACAATTGGAATCAAACGGAAAATGCCCTCGGCTCCGATGATTATACAACGAAACAGAAGAAAGAGGAACCCTCAGGTCCTCCTCGTCCTCAGGTCCAACCGGGTCGTCAGGTGGTGTTGGACCCTTTTCTTTTCGAGGTTTCTTGGAAGAGCCAGGGGCAGATCCTAACGGTTCAGGGTCCTCATCAAAGATTCCTTCAGGATCTAAAGGATTACGACTAGAAGCTTCAGGTTTTAAGGAAGTTTCGGGAGCAGGTCTCGAGGAAGGTTCGGGGTCTAAGTCAAACGGATCAGAACGTGTACCGGTCCCCGGCGACGGTAAACCTCTAAAGCGCACGGCTCGGAGCACGTGCTCAACTTGTTCCGTCTTCTTTGCCGGGGCCGGTTCATCATCTCCGGCACAAAGCATGCCAAACATGCCGCAACATGCGCACTTTAAGTTTTCACAGACATGCTCACAAACGCGCTGCCCAAAACCTTTCACCTCACGACTCAAAAGAAGTTTCCTACTCACCTCGACGCGGGCCCAACGGTCCCGCAGCTTAATCCTAAAGTAGCTTCCGCGTTTTCTAGAAAACACCCTGTAGAACTTCCGTGGCCTCTTTCGCGAAACCACTTTCCTGAAACACCGAAGTAACCCTGAAGAAACCCACAAAGCTATACCACAGAAGAGGCTGTAGACCGTCAGGAGGAGCACGATGATACCAAGATCCAGTCCTGGCGTGAAACCATTCCTGAAAGCGGCCGTGGTTTTAAAGGTGCGGGTTTCGAAGGTAGGAGGGTTCGAGGTACGTTGGGTTGGTTTTCGAGCAAACGCAACATGCCACAGACCATGCCAACGCTCATGCCACACAACATGCTGCTGCAAAACGTGCTGCTGCAAAGTGTGCTGCTGCAAAGCGTGCTGTTGCAAAACGTGCTCGCAAGAAAAAACTTTTGAACTCCAACCCCTCGGTGCGGAACGCCGCAGAGTCACTCCAAAAGCCTCTGGCCCTCTTCGAGGGCTTGCCTCACCTGCGCAGTCACTTGACTGTGGCTTAAAGATGGCGGGCTGAGCACAAATGCCCGTTCCTGGGCAGTCTGTCCTGTGGCAGAAGCACTCGCAGACGCACTCAGAGCTCTCGGAGGCGTTGGTAGCCGAGATCTTTTTGGAACAGACGGCGGGATGTTCACGCCGTGCCTTTGATAGTCCTCCCTCTGCATCCCCTCCGGAAGCGTAGGTGCTGAAACCCTCGGGAGATTGAATGCAGTAGCCACCAGTTCCCCTGGTGGCATCGAGGAAGCCGGGCTCGGCGGTGCCGGCTGTCCCGCCTCGGCGGGCTGATTTCCCTCGTCGGCCCCAACATAGCCATCCAATTGGGACAACCTCTGACCTGTAAGTTCTTCCAACGTTCGCCATATGGCGATGTCGGATAAATCTTCTTGGCCCTGGGCCCTGTTCAGCGCCGTGACTTCTCCTTCTCTAAGGAGCAAGGACTCCTCGTCGGAGCTCGAAGAGGTGGTGTCCACAACACCGCCCTGAGGGATCGCTGCCGATTTGGCCCTTGCCGCTCGCATGGATTCCCGGGCCTCGTGGAGGCGCTCCTCCTCTCGTTTTCGCCTGTAATATCGGGCACCACGGAGATATATGCCCGAATCTAGGTATGCCCAAGCCGTTTTGAGCTCGAGCGAGGTGACCGACTGGGGCACCTTTACGAGCAGACTCGAACGTCCTCCCACCAGTCCCTTGTATCCAGCAGGCGTAGCCAAATAGGTTTGCAAAACAGCTCGACAATGGAAGATATAGTGTAACATAGATACAGGGTTGGGTTCCTGGAACCTTCGTTTCCACGCTGCCCGAGCGGCCCGTGGAGCCTCCAGAAGTTCGGTAACCCTGACAGCGAACTCCACGTCTTCCATATGAAGCCCGTACTCTGCCAGGCTCTTGCCCTCTAGGCAACGTCCCAACCAAACCTCCCATTCCTGCTGCCCAATGATACATTGGGCTTCCGATTCCACCATCTTCGGCCTCGAAACCCTCACTGGCTCCTCTGGATAGGCCGCTGTCACAGGAATCACTGGAGTGGCTGGTAGCCAAGCAGCTGGATGCTCTAGGTCGGGCAGGCCTATCGGACCGAGCATCGTCGCCGTCGGAGAGCAAAGTGCTCTCAAGGCGTGGCCTGGCGCACAGAACGCCAGGGATGGGGCATCGTAGGCATCGTTCATGTTCGCTGGAATCCCCGCCAAGTGCGAGAGCAACGGAATAGGCTCGGTAGAGTCGACCGAGACCTTTGCAAGGCCCAGTGTTTCCGCATGCTCCCATCTGCGGCCAGCCTCCAGCCTCAACGCTCTCAGGAGGAGTTGGGTTCCCACATCCATCTGAACAGCACCAAACGGAGGGCTCAGCGAGCCCGGCGAGATGTTCGCCGGGATTCCAACCCGCGGTGGCGTAGGCCCCTCGACCTCTGAAGGAACCCCAGCGCGCAGGCGCTTCGAAGGATTCGGCCACTGGGTGCCCCAACTCTCCTCCCCTTCGCTCTCTGAGAACAAAGGGCTCTCTGCAATATCCGCCTTCGGCGGACTCCTCGCAGCATTCTCCTCCACAGGGCTTCCAGCAGCATCTGCCTGCGAAGGGCTGCTTCCGTCACCACTGGCGACGGGTAGACCGCCACCGGCGACGATGGTCCCCCACCCGGCGGCTCGACCCCCGGTAGTTCGAAAGAGGGGCTCTCCAAAGCCGGTGGAGTAGGCGGTTTCCCAGGAGAGCCTGGGCTGCTCAAAGCAACACTCGGGGTAAACTCGTCCCCGCTGGCACCGTCCATTATGATCTCCAAAGGGAGACCTCTCTTCACCAAAGAGAAAAACGGCTGCAGATGGATCGTGCGCAGTGCTAGCGCAAACAGTCGGCAACATCAGCGTTTGCAAAATCAAGCCAAGCATGCCAACATGCCACTGTTTCCTAGGTTCACGCATCTGCTTCCTAGGCTCAGGCCGCTGCTTCCTAAGCTCAGGCAACTGCTTTCGCAACCCTTTTTCTACCCTCTTGTGGCTGAAGGGTCTGTCTTCTTCACTTGCCATCAAGCAAGACCCAACCAGCTGCAATGCTACCATCAGCATCGCTCTCAGCATACTGCGAATCTGGAACTTCGTCGTGGGCACGTAGCCATTGCAACCCCGACCAGTGTTGGATACAAGCCCAGCAATAATGATGGGCGCGCGCAGGTTTGCGTCTGACGCAGACCTGCTTTCCGCACACTTCGCACCGGCACTCGCATTCTGGCTTTGATCCGCCCAGATAGTTTCCCATAGCAGGAAAAAGAGGCGTATGCCGAGTCTTTCTGCAAAAACCGTAAGGGTAAAAGCCCGCTTGAGCACAGCAGCCAAAACCCACTGCGCTTGCACAACCATGTCCATCATGAAAACATGCCATCGCAAAACCATGGAAAAACATGCCAAAAACATGCAAAGCACCATGCCAACATGCGACTGTTTCCTAAAATCAAGAGCCATGCCAACATGCGACTGTTTCCTAAAATCAAGCGACATGCCAGCATGCAACTGTTTCCTAACATCAAGCGCCGTGCACTGCCTAAAGTCACTAGACTCTTCTAGAAAATCACAAAGCTCAATCTCCCGTGGTGCAGGCGCTCTTGGAGCAACTTCCGCCCTAAGACCCCGAAGCAGAAACCCAAAAGGAGTGGCAGCCAAAGCGTGGCGGCCAGACTCGTCTTCTTCCGAAGTCTTTCTTCCTTTCTTCAGGATTCCTTCTCCAGGCTTCTGGGGTCCTGCGGTGGACTCCTTGCTCGATCCTAGCAGGTCGCGGTCCTTCAAGGCATCTATCTCCATATCCTCGATCCCTTTCGGGGGGCGTCTGGAAGAATTCTCTTTCCCCCGGCCCTTGGACCTCCCGCTCAGAGCCCACCAGGCGCGCGAAGCGCCCATCAGCTTGATGCTCTTCTTTCCGTTTCCTTTGTACAATCGTGATCCCGATTTGGCTAGATAGGTTTTCCAGCCCCGTTCCGACCCGGTCCAAGGCGAAACAACGTTGAACCCAACATCCGCCACCAAGACCTCTTCCAACCTCAGGAAAACATCACCAAAATGAACCTCAAGGTCGACAACCCCCGACACGACGATCGCACCACCCGAGGCGTTGAACAGATTGGCCGTTCGGTCGTACTTCTTGACAACACGAAATCCTGAGAGATGTTTGTCTGAAACAATGTGGCAGGTGGCTCCACTATCGACTAGCCACAGGTCCCCAGGAGTAGTCTCGAGGGCCTTGCAGACATGAGCTACGTCGCCGTGCTTCAACACACGGGATCCTAAGGAGCCCATAGACTCAGAACCTCGACTCTCAGACCCAGGCGACCCTTCGGGTCCTGAACCCGGCTTCGGAACTACAAGGGCGGACGGCTCAGGTCTCTCAGGCTGGCTCAGAACACGGCGTTCCGCAGAAGAGGGCTCCGAAGAACCACGCCCAGGACAGGAAAACCTCATCGCCATCACTGTGGCGCTTCCTCCCGACTCGGCCTCGGACTCCGGCTCTGTCAAGGAGCGTCCCTTTCCAGGCTGTCCCTTCTTCTTTTTCTTCTGCTTCTTGCCTTTGTCCTTTCCTTTGTCGCCTTTTCCTCTGTCGCCCTTGCCCTTCTCGGAACCACGGGGCGTACCAGATCCCTTGGGAGTCTGGTCGCCTTTGCCTTTCGGCTTTCCTTTCTTTCCCTTTGCCCTTCGGAGCACCACCGCGTTCGCGTTCTTCCTTTTGGCGCTGCCAACACTTGTCGGCTGTGTGTCCCTTCTTCCCGCAGTAGTCGCAAAGCTTCTCCTGCAAGGCTCGGCCCGAAGACCCAGGGGCCTCACACAGTCGCAGCTGTTCCTCGTAGTAAGTCAGCGTCCTTCGAAGAGCTTCCCAGTTCGAGCTGGACCCGTGCAGTACCACGTACTGACGCACTTCTGCACCCAAGCTCTGTAACAGGACAGAGCAGCGGTCAGCCTCAGACAGCTGAAGCTCCGGAAAGTTGCTCAGCTTCGCTTCAGACTTCGAAAACGAATCCTCAAGATGTCGAATCAAGTCGGTGGGCCTCTTCAGATGCCCAACGTGCTGGTACAACTTCAAAGCCTGTTCTCTCACGAAGACAGCTTCCATCCGCGACACGATGGAGTACTGAGAGGTAATCGTTCTAATCACCTCGTAGCCGCAGGCGCTCTGCCCCTGCCTCTTCGAGCAGGACCTCAAGAGCTCGCTTCCCCGCTCCCACTTGGCGAGGGACTGCGTCAAGTAGTAGAACAGCTTGGAGCTACGCGCTGCAGTCTCGGGATTCAAGTCAGCTTGCACAATCTCCTTCTTCACAGGGATGCAGAGCTGCAGTTCCCGAACAAACGCTTCTTCCTGCAGGGCAAGCCAGGAACTCAGCGTCTCCATAAAGGAGTGCCAAGTTTCTACCTCCTTCATGCGCCCTTTCCCCATGCCTTGATGGTCTATCACCGGAAGGTTCGGCAGATACTTCTCTGCACGGCCTCCAGCACCAGAGTACCCAGAGGGAGACGGAACTGCCGGAGAAACTGCCGAACTCGCGGCAGAACTGCTCGCGGGAGCAGTGCTCGGCTGGAAGGGGTCCCGAGTCTTAGCTGCCTCTGCTGCCTGCTTGGCCGCTTCAGCTGCCTCGTGAACTTTCTCTTCCGCTTTGTTCCTTCTCTCTTCCTCCAGATCCATTCTCCGGAGCATCGTCGCAACGAGCTGCTGGTTCATTGCCATCATCTCTCTCTGCTGACGAAGCAATTCCATCATGAACCCAGGCATCTGCTCAGGCGTAAAACCTGCAGAACCAGAGCTGCTACTCGGAGCAGCAGCCTTCGGACTCTGAACAGGTGGAGCCGACGCCTTTGGACTTTGCACAGGAGGCACAGTAGCACCAGTCGGCGAACCCGCCGCTGGTACAGAAGGCTGTGCTTGCGTAGGAGCAGGAGCCGGACCTTGGACAGGAGCAAACGGATTCGCTCCCTGCTGAGCAGCCGCTTCAGGCGCTGCCGCAGCTGGTCCTGGACCAAAAAGCTCGAACTCCTCTTCTGCAGTGGTCTCCGGCACAGGAACGTCTGCCATGGCTTTACTAGGAACGCACTCAGCGCTCCGCTACCATGTGAAAAACGCAGAGCAAGTCTCTTTTCACTCCACGCTTGAGCCAAACACCGAAGTGTTCAGCAAGGTCTCTTGCGGAGTCTCGCGCAGCAAATTCCGTCTCAACTTTGCTAAACAAAGGAGGAATGACATGCAACTGTCCTAACACTTCTCAGGACTTCTGTACTCACTCAAACAGCAGTGCACAGCCACTCTGTCCCTTGGCCTGTTCCCACCGGCACGAGCGAAGCGAGGGTCGGCGAAAAACAGCAACAGTGCAGTCAGAGCAACACGCACTTCTTCAAGGATGCCCAAAAGCATCTCTGGTGCTGTAAGCGCTCATCATGGTCTTCAAGACAAGTGCAAACATGCTAAAACATGTGTTCGCCATGCAATTGCCTGTTCAAGCTTCCAAAACAAAAACAGTTCAAGGCAAAAAGGATGAAACCCTTTCTCACGCGCAAAACAAGCATGTCGGTACTCAAGGGCACACCTAAAAGGAGCAAACTTTTCACAGACACAAGATTATGGCACAAACAGAGCATGCGTCAGGCCAGCCATCCCAGCTTCTCTTGGAGAACCAGGACGCTGCATATCGCCGTTGCAATGCTGCAGTGCCTCAATGCCGATGAAGTTCTGATCCATGTGCTTTGTTGCCTCGTTGACAATCCGCTGCTCTCACCTTCAGCTTGTTGAGTTTTCCAGGATTCGGACCGACTGGTGGCCGATAAGGGTAGGGACAACCACATTGGCGTGCATCGCAGCGACCTCTTTGATGCCACTGACTCTGCTCTCTCCAGTGGAAGGTTGGCAATCGCCTCCAGGGTTCAGGGGATAAAGGAGTGGGTCTTGATTTCGAATCTACCTGCCGTTATCAGAGAAGTCGCTGGGATTGCGGCGCCTGTACTAGTCCATCACGGCCGTTTTACCCTGTCATCGATACCGAGTTTTCTGTGTTTGGACTACTGGATTTTACTAACCCGCCGAGATTCGGGCTCCATCGCCTCCGTGACCACAGAGGAGGGTGTCTCTCCCCCAAGAGGCTCTTCAGTGCCCTCCGCTCCACCCATCACAGATCGCTGATAGGGTCTTGCATGCCTTGCGCGGAACCTGCCTCTAAGTGTCGCGGCAACGCATTCTGTCGGAGCCAACAGTGATGGCCGTGCCCGGCGCATTCAACTTCCGCTATTTCCTCTGACACGGTCAACACCAGGCTGCTAGGGAGGTTGCAGCGCTTTGTGCGCCTACGACATTCTTCCCCTTAGGCAACATTGCTCCCGCCAGTGGCTACTACTGGACTGCCAAGAACCCTATATGATCCGACAGGTGCGGTGCGCCCGGACCCGGAGATCGGCGAGCCTGCCAAGAAAGATCCGACGTTGCCTGCTTGAACGCAAACTCAGTCCACAGAACTTTGGGGTGAAAGTTGTGGATTTTGCGGACCGAGCCCTCATGTTGCGACGCTGCACTGAGAGCGAATCCTTTCGCGTCTGCTTAACACCACTGCTTGCTGTTGGCAGTTTTGTGAAGTCCTGCGCTCAGCGGAAGGACAGGTTTTCGACCTGTCCTGGTACGAACTGGCCCGGCCGGAGATTTGGTGGTGGCTGCTTCTTGACGAACTGTCGGATCTCAAAAGCTCTCTCCCACGGGCTCTTGCAGGACGGAAATCTGTGAAAAACGCAGAGCAAGTCTCTTTTCACTCCACGCTTGAGCCAAACACCGAAGTGTTCAGCAAGGTCTCTTGCGGAGTCTCGCGCAGCAAATTCCGTCTCAACTTTGCTAAACAAAGGAGGAATGACATGCAACTGTCCTAACACTTCTCAGGACTTCTGTACTCACTCAAACAGCAGTGCACAGCCACTCTGTCCCTTGGCCTGTTCCTACCGGCACGAGCGAAGCGAGGGTCGGCGGAAAACAGCAACAGTGCAGTCAGAGCAACACGCACTTCTTCAAGGATGCCCAAAAGCATCTCTAGTGCTGTAAGCGCTCATCATGGTCTTCAACACAACTGCAAACATGCCAAAACATGTGTTAGCCATGCAAATGCCTGTTCAAGCTTCCAAAACAAAACAGTTCAAGGTAAAAAGGATGAAACCCTTTCTCATGCGCAAAACAAGCATGTCGGTACTCAAGGGCACACCTAAAAGGAGCAAACTTTTCTCACACACGCTTCGCAGAAGCAGCCCGTGGGCTTGTCCGACATGCACAAATTAACTCCAAGTATTTTGGAGTCATCCGCGTTTGCGGGCATCGCCAAAATGGCGGCAGTGGCTACTCCTACCCCGAGCTACAGGCTGCCTGACCTACCTGAGCTACTGGCAGGAGTGGGTAGCCACTTCCTGGGAGTGGGGAGCCACATCCCAGTGAAACAGGACTACAGGGAGGGAGCCTCACCCGGAGGGGAGGAACCCTTCGCCCTGCAGAGCCTCCTGGCGCATGAACTGGGTCGCCGCCGGGGCACCGCCTGGGACATCGCCCCTGTTCCTCTTACGAGCTGTTTCTCCCTCGGGAGGATGGGGAGGAGGAGGGAGGGGAGGAGGCTCCTCAACCCTCGGTGCACTGGCGGGTGCCGGGTTGCTAGGAGGAGCTTTAGGACCTCCCTGCTCCCTCTGAGTCCCCTCCCCTGGGCCATAGGAGACCGGGGGGCCTGCAGGCGGGGTCTCGCGCCGCGGGGACTTAGGTGGCGCCTCCTGAGGAGCAAGAACCCGCTCGCTGGCTGTGGTAGCAGGTCCTGCGGAGGACGTGTCGCGGCTGGAGGCCGGTCCACCTGTGTCTTCCTCGACCCTGGAAGGGGAGGTTGAGCCCGTTGAGACCGGCGCCCCTGAGACGGGGTCATCCTTGGTTGTGGTCTCGTCTTTGGCGGGCACCTCATCCATGGGTGCCGCTGTGGGCGTGGCCTCCTGGTCGGAGGGTGCCTTCACGGTGCCGAGACCCAGCGCAGCAGAGGGTGGGTCAGGCTCCATCTCCTCTCCAGAGCTGCTGGGTGGGTCGTTGGCCGACCTGGCCCTGGCCGACGACTTTACCGCCGTCGTTTTTTGAACGATGCGGCGGGACCAGGGCAGCATCTCTTCCTGGTCTTCTGGCTCTAGAGGCTCCGCCGGGGCCGTCGGGGGGCTGCTCTCGGAACTTTCCGTAGAGCTGGTTGAGGCTTTCACAGCCTTTGCCGCCCCTTTGCTGTTACCGCCAGTCCGTCTGGAAGGCGGTGGGGTGCGGACTCTAGGCGGCTTGCCGTCCGGCGAGGCCTTGGGAGGGTTGGACCCATCCCTTTCGGCCTTTAGGGCCTCCCTCTGGCTGCGAGGGGGACGCTTACGGTTCCGCACAAAGCTGGAAACCGAAACCCGCCTCGCATCGGGGTTTTTCTTGGCACGCTCATCCACGTGCTTCCGGTAGGCCTGGACGAGGGCCTTGTCCTCCCTGTGGACGGAGGGCTGTTTGCCTCGCCCTTTTGAAGGGGTGGAACGACCACGCCCTTCAGAGGAGGCGGGTGGGATGTCCCTGGACCCGCTGGCACCGGTGTCGCCAGCCTGGTCGGTCCAGTCCCACTCGTCCCACCAACCTTGCCAGTCCTGCCAACCGGTGGTGGGACCATCAGAGCCGCCGGTATCACCACAAGCTCCCGAGGCTCTGCTGTGGGCTCGGCTGGGGGCTCCCAGAAATCAGCCCCAAACGGTTCTGGTCCGTTCCAAACCATTCGCCAGACCCATCTCCAGGAGTGGTAGCACCACCTCCTTTCCCATTCCCAGCCCATCTCGATAAGTGAGAGGGCTAAGGCCGGGGAAGCGAGAGGTGCACGTGGGCCATAACTGCAGCTACTGCGCTTTAAAGGCTTGGGGAGAACTGCGTCTGAGGTAGGTGTTTGCGTCCCAGGTGACAAGGGGGAAATGGGGCCCAAAAGGAAAGTGCCTACAAAGGCTACGGCTTCCTAAGGCTTCCCACCTTGGGCCCAGAACTGCCGGAGCTTAGGTTGAGTCACAGGCTTGGGCTTCGGCTTGGGCTTCGGGGTGGGTGCAGCAGACCCTTCCCCAACATCACCAACAGACACAGGAGCCTCGGGGGCCTTGGGTTGACCTGAGAAAAAGGGGGCAAGGGCGGAGGACTTGGAGCCTGAGGGTCTAGGGGCCTTGCAACCAGACGCGCGCGCGGGCCCGACTCGGCCTCGGACTCCGGCTCTGTCAAGGAGCGTCCCTTTCCAGGCTGTCCCTTCTTCTTCTTCTTCTGCTTCTTGCCTTTGTCCTTTCCTTTGTCGCCTTTTCCTTTGTCGCCCTTGCCCTTCTCGGAACCACGGGGTGTGCCAGATCCCTTGGGAGTCTGGTCGCCTTTGCCTTTCGGCTTTCCTTTGTCTCCTTTCCCTTTGCCCTTCGGAGCACCACCGCGTTCACGTTCTTCCTTTTGGCGCTGCCAACACTTGTCGGCTGTGTGTCCCTTCTTCCCGCAGTAGTCGCAAAGCTTCTCCTGCAAGGCTCGGCCCGAAGACCCAGGAGCCTCACACAGTCGCAGCTGCTCCTCGTAGTAAGTCAGCGTCCTTCGAAGAGCTTCCCAGTTCGAGCTGGACCCGTGCAGTACCACGTACTGACGTACTTCTGCACCCAAGCTCTGTAACAGGACAGAGCAGCGATCAGCCTCAGACAGCAGAAGCTCCGGAAAGTTGCTCAGCTTCGCTTCAGACTTCGAAAACGAATCCTCAAGATGTCGAATCAAGTCGGTGGGCCTCTTCAAATGCCCAACGTGCTGGTACAACTTCAAAGCCTGTTCTCTCACGAAGACAGCTTCCATCCGCGACACGGTACTGAGAGGTAATCGTTCTAATCACCTCGTAGCCGCAGGCGCTCTGCCCCTGCCTCTTCGAGCAGGACCTCAAGAGCTCGCTTCCCCGCTCCCACTTGGCGAGGGACTGCGTCAGGTAGTAGAACAGCTTGGAGCTACGTGCGGCAGTCTCGGGATTCAAGTCAGCTTGCACAATCTCCTTCTTCACAGGGATACAAAGCTGCAGTTCCCGAACAAACGCTTCTTCCTGCAGGGCAAGCCAGGAACTCAGCGTCTCCATAAAGGAGTGCCAAGTCTCTACCTCCTTCATGCGCCCTTTCCCCATGCCTTGATGGTCTATCACCGGAAGGTTCGGCAGATACTTCTCTGCACGGCCTCCAGCACCAGAGTACCCGGAGGGAGACGGAACTGCCGGAGCTGCCGAACTAGCGGCAGAACTGCTCGCGGGAGCAGTGCTCGGCTGGAAGGGGTCCCGAGTCTTAGCTGCCTCTGCTGCCTGCTTGGCCGCTTCAGCTGCCTCAAGAACTTTCTCTTCCGCTTTGTTCCTTCTCTCTTCCTCCAGATCCATTCTCCGGAGCATCGCAACGAGCTGCTGGTTCATTGCCATCATCTCTCTCTGCTGACGAAGCAATTCCATCATGAATCCAAGCATCTGCTCAGGCGTAAAACCTGCAGAACCAGAGCTGCTACTCGTAGCAGCAGCCTTCGGACTCTGAACAGGTGGAGCCGACGCCTTTGGACTTTGCACAGGAGGCACAGTAGTACCAGTCGGCGAACCCGCCGCTGGTTCTGAAGGCTGTGCTTGCGTAGGAGCAGGAGCCGGACCATGGACAGGAGCAAACGGATTCGCTCCCTGCTGAGCAGCCGCTTCATGCGCTGCCGCAGCTGGTCTGGACCAAAAGCTCGAACTCTTCTTCTGCAGTGGTCTCCGGCACAGGAACGTTTGCCATGGCTTTACTAGGAACGCACTCAGCGCTCCGCTACCATGTGAAAAACGCAGAGCAAGTCTCTTTTCACTCCACGCTTGAGCCAAACACCGAAGTGTTCAGCAAGGTCTCTTGCGGAGTCTCGCGCAGCAAATTCCGTCTCAACTTTGCTACACAAAGGAGGAATGACATGCAACTGTCCTAACACTTCTCAGGACTTCTGTACTCACTCAAACAGCAGTGCACAGCCACTCTGTCCCTTGGCCTGTTCCTACCGGCACGAGCGAAGCGAGGGTCGGCGGAAAACAGCAACAGTGCAGTCAGAGCAACACGCACTTCTTCAAGGATGCCCAAAAGCATCTCTAGTGCTGTAAGCGCTCATCATGGTCTTCAACACAACTGCAAACATGCCAAAACATGTGTTAGCCATGCAAATGCCTGTTCAAGCTTCCAAAACAAAACAGTTCAAGGTAAAAAGGATGAAACCCTTTCTCATGCGCAAAACAAGCATGTCGGTACTCAAGGGCACACCTAAAAAGAGCAAACTTTTCACAAAATCCCCTGTACGCGATGGCAGCCTTATCTCTGGCTCCCAAGCGCGACCCTACTGCAACACCAGACCCTTTGCCGACCAACAGCCGACGGAGGGAGAACTCCAGCCAGCGGCGTACGGGGGAGGCAGCACTGTTGCCGAGGACAACAAGGGTACTCCGCTTCTGCATTGTGGAGTACTGCTGTCGGTGCAACTATTCTTTTTCCTTGCCCGTGCATTGGCCGACGATTTCATCCAAAGGACTTTTTTGAATGCGAGTTTCCCCTGAGAAATGCAAAATGGCCCAGCGCAGGAGAATTGCGGATTGCATGCACTGATCGATGTGAGCGGCACATTGCCCGGCTGCTGCGCGGCAGCAATATCCTGCGACCTCCAGGCACGGGACGGCAATGAAGCAAGCCTGAGGTCCGTACGGCTGGAGTGGCTGCAATGCCTGGCCAGACTGAACTAGTGATGCGTTGGGGCTGAAGACCAAGCAAGCGGGCAGCATCTAACTTTGTCAACGCAGACGGCTTGGCAGGGGTTCAATCCATGTCTTCCAAACCGGCAGCTCTAGGCAAGGCCGTGGCTCGAGGGAGGCAAGTCAATGAAGGTCGCACCCCCATCGGGTAAAATGTCTGCAACCGCGGTCGACTCCGCTCGCTTCCCGTGTTGCCCTACGCTGCATAGGGAGCAGCAGTGGCGGTGCCTGCCCTTGAAAAAGGTGCATTGATATCCTGAGGCAGTGCACACCTTCGGGCAGTTAGCCCAGTGTGCTTCTTTATGACCACCCCAAGGAGGTGGATTCTCAACGCGCCACCAGTCTGACGTCTTGGTTCCTGAAGCCGCCCCCTCCCCTCCCCCGACAGAACAATACTCAGTTTGAGGTGCAGGGATGCAGGCAAACAAGCATGGACAACCCCCGCTGAGAAAACACGGACGCGGTGCCCCTCTGAGAGCTACAGAACAAGTCACGGTTTCAGCGCATTTTTCAGGTGACAGGAGAGGCGAAGGGAAGCGGCCTCTGGCAAGTCGTCACTGGTTGCTCCAGAAGCCGGAAGACCTGCAGGTTCCTGCCCTTGGTTCTTGTCAGCGGTGGTTGTTGTGCGCCCATTGCTGCCCGACTCAGGTGGTGCACTGTAGGCATGCCCGCTGGCCAGATGGCGCTGACGCTGCTCACACTGGGGGTGTGCGTCTCCGCATTTGTATGGTCGCAAGGAGCGCAGCATCGGGTGTGCCCGACTCCCGCCACCTCCAGCAATTCGGGGAGCAGCAAAGGGACAATGTTGACCGCCGCATCCGTGCCGCGAAAGCAAGGCCGCCGTCAAAAAAGGGGGGGGTGGGCATCCTTTGTGCTTGCATTTGGCATTGTTCCTTTGCCTTGGCTTTCTTCAGTTTTTGCTATTGTGTGGGCTTTCAGCACGTCGGCATACGACGACGTCCTTTTCCCGTTCCCTGATCCGCCCCGGCCTCTTGTTCAACATGGCAAGTTCGTGGAACGAGATGCCGGTCAACGTCAACATCCCTGGCTACGACATGTTCCAGATTACTTCCTCCAGCGACATCGACCCGCTCTTTGTCACTTTCGCGCTGACTCTTGCTTCCACTCTCGCCCGCCCTGCTTCTGCTATGGCGGCTTTGCCTTGCCGATGATGTGGAGGCGCCTGGACCCGCACATTAACGTTCGCCATGGTTACCTGTGTCACTTCGACTTGGCTGCAGACCCCGAGTTCCAGCTCACTTCAAGTGACATCGATGTGATACTCATGGCGCCCAAGGCATGCGCGCCAACCTGGTTGTGATCGAATTACATCATAACTGGCAAAATGCTGGAAACGAAACGGTGAGGGTTTGGTTCAAGCAGGTGGCCAGCGTGGTGGAGCAACTTGCGAACCACCGCGACTGGGACACCAGGGCTATCAAACCTTTTTACTTGGGCTGATTGCCCGGTGGTGGATCTTGGGCCCTGGCCCAATAAACCGGACCGGTATCCGCCCCTTTTTTCAGTCAACAGGCAGTGGCGGTCCAGTGCGTCATGCTCTACATGCCACAGGCTGAAGGAGGATTGGAGTGCCAAAAGGTCCTGTGGGTGGGGGGGGGGGGGCTTGAATTCTGCCCTGAGCCGTTTGCATGCTGATGATTCTAATCGCGGCTCAGGCGGTGACATACGTCGCCAGCCAGGGGTTGGGGCAACCTGTTCATCGGTGGTAGTGTGCGCCATGGCTGTCCAATTGTTCTACACGCACCATGTGGTCAGCGGAGTGGGTACCGAACTTCATCGGCCCATATCCCTGGCGCTGGCGTCTATACAGCATGCAATCTCGGGTATGGAGCACCTTCACCTTCAAGTGTACGAGGGGCACCTTTTGGTGCAGGTACTCCCCGGCCTCACGGACGTGCCTGACTTCACCGAATACCCGGCAACTTGGCGTGTCTTTCAGGAAGGTGCCCCTTTGCACACGGACGACTCCCCCTTTTCCGTTGCGGGTTACCTTGCGACGGTTGCGGAAGCCTTTGACTATATGGCACTGTGTGGCAGCTTGCCCGTGCTTGTCTGCTCGCACGATCGCCGACTAGGGCACGGCTTTGTGGGCATGCTGGTCACCCGACTGAATACTCGGGCGGGAGGCACACGACGTGCACCGGTCGAGGACAGCAGCGATGCCGTTGACTCCATCTACGGTTTCCAGGAGCTACCGATCAGTGCAGACCTGCTTCCCTTTGGCCAAATTCCGACGACCCCGTGCGAGTATGAGCCAACCATACCAGTAAATTTGGACTCTCTAGCGCGTTATGCGGTATGGCTTTGCACAGATCCCGCGGTTGTGCATTGCCACACCTTGTGGCTGTTCACGGACACGGACTCGTTGGAGGAGTATGACCATACGCGCCACACCCTACCACATATTCTCAACAGGTGTTGCTGGATCGGTCGGCATAACGAGCGGCACACCTGTGTCTTCTTTCCACTCCGCCAAGCCACTGGCTTGCGTCGGGCGGTGGTCTGGTGGGGCAAGGTTTACGCGCTGTGGGTTCTTAGGGTGCTGCTCCCAGGCAAACACATCATTCTGTCAGATCACGATGCGGCGCCGACGGCGCTATTTGAGGTCGCTGACCTCCAAGATCTGTGCCTTGACACGCAGGAGTTCCAGGCCTCCGCTGGAGTTGGGATGCCGGCCCCAGACGATACGGTTTGGTCTTTCGCGCCAACTATACCTGACCAGGGCAGCCCTTGCTCTCGGCGCACACGCGAGTCAGTGGGAGTCGTTTTTGTGACGGAGCCGTCCACCGACGCCCAGGGAGGGTTTTCTGTCTTCGCTAAAGAGCCTGGCCGACTTCATACTGAGGTTGGCATAGTGCCGCTACATCTGCGCGGCCGAGGGTCTTGGCAGGCCTTTGTGGCTGCCTGTGACGAGGAAGGAGGAGGCAGCACCATCGGGGACTCCCAACTCTGCCGTCGCTTTGGCCTGACCCAGGCGGTACTGGCGGAGTGGGCTGCCGAAGTTGTCCCACTCCTTTTGTCGAAGCTCGCACACCTGTCAACGCTGCCGCGTTGCAGACCTCGGGAGCGTCGGACTGCCGAGCTATTGGCAGGTACGCCACTCTTTGGTGCGCAGGCGCGGCACAGCGGCGACGTTGTCGCCACTTGGGTGTATCTGGGAGCGGTCCTGCAGCAGCCTTACTGGCACCCCGATGCACAGGGCTGCTTTAACGCCAGCATGAAAACACCTAACCCTGATGACTCCTTGCGGGAGACCTTGCAGCCACATGAGGATGCCTTGGGATGGGCTAGAGGAGCCCATGAACAGTGTGCTAATTCCACCCTCTTCGCCTTGAGCTCCGACCACTGCCGGGTGTAGCCTGCCGGGGCCCTTCCTCTTCATGGCTAAAACGCTTCCCCCAGACCGCAAATGTATTGGCCCGGCCTTCGTGCACGGATACGGTGCCAATGGCAAGGCCCCTCTGGCGCAGCTGGGCCGCCTCCGCTCATTGCCCACCCTCGCAGAGACACTTTGGGGGTGGCGTGACGCCCCACCCTGGTGGGCAGTCTCTAGCTTGGTTTGATGGGAGCCAGGGGCTTTAGCGTGATAGCCCCCGAGCACTTTCCTGGACCCGGGGCGAGGCGGGTCCTCCCATTTCGGCGTGTCACACGGCATCGTTTTTCGCAGCACATGCGCACGTGGGCGCGCTGGC